GGTGGCTGGGCCCGGGAGGGGAGGGTGAGGATGGAGTTCTCTGGAGGGCAACACCTGCCCACCTTTTTCTTCCTCAGGCTGGCTCCTGCACAGGGACCTCTGTCCACCCATCTGCAAGGACCAGATGTGCTCCTGAGCCTGGCCAGGCCCTGCCGCGTCATGTTCAACCCTATGAATCCTCCAGTCACCAGCTATGTTGAGCACTGCTACTTGCGGCCGCTCCATGGACCAGCACCTGGCACCCCAGGGCCACAAGGTTGGTCACAGAGCCCTCATGCTGACCAGTGCCTGGCCTGGCCTCACTGGAGTCTGGGCAACAGACTGGCACAGTCATGGGGGAACTTTGTTTCTATTTCAGTCCTTGGGTTCAGAGATGCTCATGTGTGAGGGCCTGGGGCTGGCCCTTTGTGTCCCTGCACCGTAACAGGTTCTCCCACCTTTCTCCTCCCCTCTGCCAGGACTTGACTTCTCCTTGTGCCATCAGTCAAACCTCATGGGCAGTCACCATGGTTATGGACTGGTGCCAGGCACCGAACACCCAGGCACTGGTGATGGTAAGTCCCCCCTCTCTGGGGGAGGGTAGGTAGATGTGTTACAAGGGATTTAGGCACCCCCAGGGGATGGTGTTGATTGTGTCAGAAGCACAGGTGTGAGTGATGAGGGGATAAGGCACTGCTGGGGACAATGATGCCTGTGACAGGACAGGAGACTCCCAGGGCTTCAGTTCCCTTCTTCGGGACAGGGATGCCTGTGAGCAGGAGACAGGTATGTGCCAAGAGGTTTATGCATTTTTTTCAGATTTATGTTAGCTGTGTCCGGGGGCAAGTGTTGGCCAAGGGATTTAGGCAGTTTTCTTAGGATGCCATTGTTTGTGGCAGGGAGTAGGCGTGTGGCAAGGGGTTCAGGTTTCCCCTAGGGATATGAATGGTTGGGGGAAGGGGGATGCTTTTAGGCCTTGCCATAGCCCAGAGCCAGCAATTGGCGCACCTGGGGTACTCCTCCAGGCTCTGTAGCACCATGCTTGTGTCCTTGGGGGTTTCTTCAGCCTCCTGGGACCCAAGCTAAGAGGAGTGCCCCCCACTCTGCCGCCGTCCCAGGCTCACGGTTCTCAACACCCCGTGGTGCAGGCAAGCTGGGCAAGAAGCGGGCACTGTCCATCTCGCCCCTGTCAGACTCTAGCATTGACCTGCAGACGGTAATCCGCACCTCGCCCAACTCACTCGTTGCTTTCATCAACTCCCTCTGCGCTTCCGCCAGTGGCTCCTCCTGCCACCTCTCCATCAGCACCATCAGGTGGGCACTTGACATCAGCCCTGCTGGCATGCGCGCAGCCTCTCTGAGGGAGCCTGGGTGCCAGTGCTCAACTTGGGGAGTGCCTGGTGGGGCTAGGGAAGGGGGAAGCAGTTAGCCCAGAGTGGCTTACCTGGGGACAGCAGTGGGGCCTGCGGCTTAGAGCAGGAGCAGCTGGGAGCTCAGAGACCTGGGTTCTCTGCCTGGCTCAGAGAATCTAAAATGTCTGTCCTGTACTAGTGCCATCTGCTCATACCTCTTGCTCTTTGCAGTCCATCATTGGGGTACCAGAGTCCACCGGGTCAGCAGAAAGGCCAAGGGCACCTGTTTGGCCACACTCCCCCACTGCCCCCATGTAGCTCCCATGAACATCTGCCCACCCGTCCAGGACTGCTGCACCATGCCTCTGCTCGTGGCACCCTGAAACACTGCCAGGTAAGGGAGCCCCAGGGGGTGTTTCTGGTGCTGAGCACTGATGCCACTTAGCTCTTCTGATCTGAAGAACACTCCAGGGGTGGGAGATGTTCCATGCCCCCAGCAGGGTCTCTGCCATGCATCTGCTATAGGGGGTGGTCCAGTGGGCATCCTGCTGCTGACTGCTTTTACTCCCCTCTTCCCCCCTGCCACGATAGCAGCTGAAGTTGGAGCGGAGCCTGAGCAGCCCTCTGACAGCCAAATACCCAGAGGAGAGATCCGAGGGTGACGTCTCCAGTCCAGCCTCCGCAGGCACCCAGGTACCCCACAGGCCTTTGGACCACCCTCCCTTCCCCAGGGCTCCACGCTCCTCGCCAGTATCACTCCCAGTGACAGGGAGCACAAGGGGTCATGCCTGGGAGTGCTGATCTAGCTCTGCCCACCCAGGATCCCTTGCTGGGGATGCTTGACGTTCGGGAGGATCTGGAGAAGGAGGATGGGAAACCTGAAGCCGAGACTGTCTATGAAACCAATTGCTACTGGGACGGATGTGCCAAGGAATTTGACACGCAGGAGCAGCTGGTGCATGTGAGTTAGGTCCTACCTGGGCCCCCTAGCCCTAGAACTTGCCCCCAGGCTGCTGGCTGACATCCCTCTGGGTCTGCCTTTGACTCCTACCTTGAGACTGACCTATGCTGGGCTGAACCCCTCTATAAGAACTCATTGCACAGGTGTGCCATGTTGGAAGTTGTTCCTAGGGAGAGAGGGACATGCATCCTCCTCTTCTTGTAGGCAAGTTCTTTTTGATCTCCCCATGCCATGTCCCTAGGGGGATCCCCCAATCTGGCCCTTCCTCACCAATGGGGCAGCTCTCATGACCCCTGGTGCTTTCCAGACTTGCTCCCTTTGCTCTCTGTGTTTCTCTCCAGCCACTCCAACTCCCCTCTATTCCCTTGACCAGCCCCCTAGATCACTTTGACCCCTATGTCTTCTCTTGATCCTCTCAAGATAGCCCTCAGCTATCTCCTGTATCATCTCCTGCCTTCTCCAGACTCCATCTGACCACTGTGTATCCCCCTAATTCCCTGGGTCTCCACCAGCCTTCCCAGCCCCTCTGCAGCCACCTTTCTCCCATGATATCCTCTAAGACACCTGTATCCACTAATCCCCTGGTGCCCTCCGCAGTGCCCCCAATGATGCCTCTCTCTCTCCAGCACATCAACAATGAGCATATCCACGGGGAGAAGAAGGAGTTTGTATGCCACTGGGCAGCCTGTTCCAGGGAGCAGAGGCCTTTCAAGGCTCAGTACATGTTGGTGGTGCACATGCGGCGTCACACAGGGGAGAAACCTCACAAGTGCACGGTGAGCTGGCCTGGGGTCTCTGCATAGTCCTGGCTAAGCTGTGGCGCCTTGCACCAGGCAGCGCTTGGGGCAGGGTGGGTCTGGCTCATGCCGGTTTGTGGCACTGAACGAGGAACCAAAGGGGGAACACAGTGGGGAAGATGGGGTGGGAGGTGGGACAGACAGGGTGATTAGGAGTGTGGTAGTGTATGATAGGCTGGGGTGCATATGTGGCAGGCCAGGGCCCATGTGATAAGTGACATTGGCACAGATGCATATGAGGTAAAGAGGTATGAAGCAGGCTAGGCACACTGTGGCCATGTGGCCAGTGTGTAGTGAGATGCCATGACTTCTTCCAGAAGGGTAAAGGGCTGTGTGGTGGGGTGGGGACATGCACCTGCAGGTGGGCAGGTGTGTTGTGTGTGAGAGGGTGGTACGTGTTCATGGCAGATGTTATGGATGTGTAGTGTGGGGGTGATGTGGTACAGGTCTGTTGAAGAAATGTGGCATGTTTCACCCTGCCTGCCTGCACAGTTTGAGGGCTGTAACAAAGCCTACTCACGCCTGGAGAACCTCAAGACACATCTGCGCTCACACACGGGCGAGAAACCCTATGTGTGTGAACACGAGGGTTGTAACAAGGCCTTCTCCAATGCTTCTGACCGAGCCAAGCACCAAAACCGCACCCACTCCAATGAGGTACAGTTCATTGGGGTACTTCGCACCCCTTGGGGCTCCCCTATCACCCCGACTCATCCTATACCTCCTAAACTCCATGTATGCCCAGGTCTTTCTCTGTGTGTGCCAACTCTCTCCTTGCCTGCTCCAATAAAGTGTGGCCCCCTGTTCCCCTCCTAGGGCACCTGCAAACCCCCCTAGGCCTCCTTACTCCCTGCCCTGCTCCCATGCAGTACAGCCCTTGCATTACTCCTCAGGGCTCTCAGTGCCCTCCTTTGAGGCCCTGTTAAAGCACCTTACGTGCCCCTCCAAGGGGATACAGCCTCCTTGCTCCCTTCCCACCTCCAATTCCCAGGTCTACTGGAAAGCGGGAAGAAGGTGCTCTACTCCATGCCCGGGGGGTGCTGTGTTGGGAGGGGTGTCTATTTCGAGCTAACACGCTCCCTCCCCTATTCCTACCTTTTCCCCTGGCAGAAGCCCTATGTGTGCAAGATCCCAGGCTGCACCAAGCGTTACACGGATCCCAGTTCCCTGCGCAAACACGTGAAAACTGTGCATGGCCCTGACGCCCATGTCACCAAGAAGCACCGAGGTGATGTGGTGCCAGGCCGCGCACTGCTTGCCCCCAGCCTCCCTCCTGACATGAAGCAGGAGAAAGACACCAATGGCCCTAGCGAGGCCCGGAAGGATGACAGCAAACTGTTGGTGCCTGACTTGGCCTTGGTAAGGACCTGGTGGTGTGTGAAGACACAGGGACAACCAGCCAGGCCTGGCAGAGGGGTCAGTTTGCATGGTGGGGGAGACACCAAATATGGCAGGTGGGGGTTCCCAGTTTGCATTAAGTGTCTCAGTTTTTTCCCTGATTAATGTTGTGGGTCTCCCCAGAAGCCGCAGCCCAGTCCAGGTGGGCAGTCATCATGCAGCAGTGACCACTCCCCTCTTGGCAGCACCACCAACAATGACAGTGGGGTGGAGATGACCGGCAATGCAGGCGGGAGCTATGAGGATCTGTCCACGTTGGAGGAGGTGGTGCCTGGGGAGCCCATGGGCACCTCAGGACTCATGGCCCTCCACAAACTAGAAAATCTTCGCATTGACAAATTGAAGCAGATGAAGAAGCCATCAGCTACCAAAGGCCTTAACTTGCCAGCCATTCCCGGAGCCGGTGAGACCATGGTACCCTCCCACCTGGATGCAGGGGCAGCCCTGTGGGCACTGTGTAGAGCGAGGTGATGTTTCCAGTCAAAGTGGTTTCCGCACCCTCCTTTTGTTAGGGTAGGACCCCCATGTGTGGGCTCTGCCCCATCTTCTGCCCCCTCCTCATTGCCATCACTTGACCCCACTTCCTGTCCTAGCAGGCACCAACCAACCATGGGGGAGGCTGCATACTGGTACTGGAGATGGCTGCACGTTCCTCTGCTAACCACTGGTGCCATGCTGTGCTCTGATGTAACTCCTCCTTTCCTTTCTCCAGGCCTGCCTGGGGAGATGCCCGGGATCTGCGTGCCACCCCCAGCTGCCTCACACCGCCGCATCACAGAGCTGTCGACTGCAGAGCTGGGCTTGCTACCGAACGAGCGCCGGAGCAGTGCCA